CCAGGTTGATAGCACCTTCCCCTGAAAATCAGTCAAGTTATAAAAAGGAAATTATTAGAATAAGATGCAAATTTCGTTTATAGAAAGCTATACAATTGCTTTAGTTTTCTGTATTTTTGAAGACTTATGGTTAGTTTTCTACCAGAAAAAGGGTAAGTTCCATCTAGATGGGTCTTTCTTCAACCCATCTGAGTAGGTTGCTTGAAGCACAAGGAGATATAACCAATTCTTACTTGTAATAGGGAAGCAGGGCAATTATGAATGATACTTAGTATCAACAGAGATCCTGGAACTCTGAATATTCATTTTCAGCCATCTTACCAATTGTGTGTGGTGTGTGTGTGTGTAATGGAAGAAAATGTTCTCGAAAAATTGCAAAATCCTAGACTTCCTTTTGGTAATTTATGATCAGAAGGCAGATATTAAATATAAGTAGGTTTAATGAAGAAATAACATATACTGGTGCAGGGACATTAACACTTGTGAACAAAACACTATTTCCTTTCAATAACTGCAATATAAACATATTTCCAGCAGGAAAAAAATTATGCAATGAAGAAGAGATAGGGTGCTACAAATCTACTTTCTGAAACACATGATGATAGGACCAATTTTCTATAGGTTTTTGTTTTCTGAGATGGGGTCTCACTTAGTCACCCAGGCTGGAGTGCAGTGGCACAATCATATAGCTCACCATTGCCTTAAATTCCTGGGCCCAAGGGATCCTCCTGCCTCAGCCTCCTGAGTAGCTGGGACCATAGGCACATACCAGCATGTCCAGCTATGTATAGGATTTTAAATTTTTATCTTATTGGAGCTTCACAACACCCTCGTAGGTAATGTTACTAGAAGTGTTCCAATTAAGTAGACTCTAAGCTTAGAGGCAACTTAAATCTTACTTGGTCCAATGACAAAAAAGGTGTCTGAAACAAGCTACAGAATGCTTCCTGCACTTAATCCAAAATTTTGACTATTGTTATAATAAGAAAGCACCACCTTGTGGAGAGTTAAAATATAACTAGTCTGTGGCTGCTGAGCTGAAAGGCTGCACTCACTGAAGTCCTTCTATATTGAAGGGTTCTGATTCACAGGGTCAGATGGTAAAGCAGAAAGTTAATGATGCATGGCAGTCTCATCTGTCCTGTCACTGATATTGGTGAGCTTTCTTTCTTTCTTTTTGAGACGAAGTCTTGATCTGTCGCCAGGCTGGAGTGCAGTGGCGTGATCTTGGCTCACTGCAAACTCTGCCTCCCGGGTTCAAGTGATTCTCCTGCCTCTGCCTCCCAAGTAGCTGGGATTACAGGCGCGTGGAACCATACCCAGCTAACTTTTGTATTTTCAGTAGAGACGGGATTTCACCACATTTGCCAGGATGATCTTGATATCCTGACCTCTTGATCCACCTGCCTTGGCCTCCCAAAGTGCTGGGATTACTACAGGCATGAGCCACCACACTCAGCCTAGGTCAGCTTTCTATGTCTATTTTAACCAGGAAGGTTTGCTGGTCACAGGGAACAAACATCCTACCAAAAAGGAAGTAATCACTGGGAGCTACCAGATGCTCTAGCTTGCCTCTAGGAGTCAGGTGTAAAAGGGAAAGAGAACACAGGTCATGAGGGTTCCCATGAAAGGAAGGAAACTATTAATATACCAAACTTGTTAAGACATTCTAAGTAGAAAGAATACTGTTCTGGAAAAGGACATCAGGTTCATATCAATCCTCTGCTTAAAACAGGTCCATTGCTTGCCACTATTTCAGAATTAAAAGCCAAACTTCTTAACAGGCTCTACAAGGCCTCAAATTATCTACCTAGCCAAGTGCTGTTCAACAGAAATACAGTAGGAGCCACGCATGCAATTTAAATTTTTCTAGAGGCCACAGAAAGAAACAGATGAAATTAATTATAATTTATTTCACTTAATACATCCAATGTGTTATTTCAACATGTAATTAATGTAAAAATTATTTTTTGAGACAGGGTCTCCCTCTGTTGCCCAGGCTGGAATGCAGTGGTGAGATCACAGCTCACTACAGCATCGACCTACTGGGCTTAAGTGATCCTCTCACATCAGCCTCCCAAGTAGCTGGGACTACAGGAGTATGCCACCATGCTTGGCTAATTCTTTTCATTTTAAATTTTTTTGTAGAGACAGGGTGTCACTATATTTTCCAGGCTGGTCTCAAACTCCTGGGCTCAAGCAATCCTCCTGGCCTCAGCCTTCCAAAGTGCTGGGATTACAGGTGTGAGCCACTGAGTCTGGCCAATATAAAAATTTTTGAGATATTTTATATTCTTTTGGGGGATACCAAATCTTCAAAATTTAATATGCATTTTATACTTACAGCACATGTCAGTTTTAACTAGCCACATTTAAAGTGCCCAACAGCAACATACAGTCTGTAGCTATCAATATTGGACTGCCCATATTTAGCCTTGTCTATCTCTTTAATCTCTCATCTCATGCTATTCATGCTATTTTTCTCCTTCAATAACAAGGATTCAGCCCCAGTGGGTTTTTTTTTTGTTTTTTTTTTTT